CTGGCAGCCGAGGATGCGCAGGAAGGCGCGCTTGAACTCCTTGCTGGAGCACGGGTAGATGATGGGGTTGAGGCAGCTGTTGAAGTAGCCCAGCCAGAACACCACCTTGAACACGGTGTCGGGGGGCTTCAGGGTGGAGAACAGGGAGCCTGCAGGGGGAGGGCGGGGGGCACAGGCAGAAAGACAGACAGCGGTTTGTGAGGAGTCAGGCCCTCCAGGGGCTCCACCCGAGCAGCACCCGCCCGCCCGCAGGACCCTCCCTCTGTCTGGAATGCTCGCCTTTCTGTCTCAAGAGGAATGAATGCTACATTCACTTTCAGGGCCAATATCGAAAACTCCGCCTTCGCCCACGAAAGCTTTCCTGCTCTAGCTGAACAACATCTAAGCTCCTGTAGCTCTAGATTTCCGAGGGCAGCGCTCACCAGTTTCTACTACAATGGTACTAGTCACCCACAACTGCACGCTTCTCTCCGGCCAGAGGCACTCTGCTGGGCACTTTTACTTGTATTGTTTTATCCATCACAAAACACCATGAAGTAGACGCTCATTTACTTCCATGGCAAATATGAGATACATTACAGACCTTCCTGAGAAAGGTAAAACTTTAAAGGCAAAAGAAGACAATGAAAAGGAAGATCTTTTTGATCTAGGAATGAAGAAAAATGACCTAACTCCTCAAAAAAAGATAAACTTCAAGAAAAGGGTGGGAGAAGATATTTACAATGTCTAATAAGACAGGTAAATATTATATTCCCAGTAGAAACATGGACAAAGAAAATGAACAGGAAATGTATAAAACAGGAAACCTGAGGGTTAATGAGCACATGACAAGAAGCTCAAAATATTAGGTAGTCAAATAGATTACAATGAAAACCATAAAGAAATATAATTTATATCTGTTAGGCTGGCAAAAATTAGAAAGATGGACGACACCAAGTATAGGGAGAGCTGTGGGGACTTGGGGAGCCTTCTGCATGGCTGGTGGGGGCAGAGGCTGTGAAGACTGGACAAGACTCTAACACTGTGTGGTCCAATTAAGTCTAACACACCTTCTAACCTAGCAGCTCTGCTCTAGGGCACAGATCTCAAAGAATTTTTACATACGTCCATTAGGGACACGTATGAACATGCTCAGGGCAGTGTTGTTTGTGGTGACAGGGAATTGGAGAAAACTTGGGTGTCCCTCACAAGGAATTATGGAATGGCAGAGTTCCATATAATGACCATCAGGAGATGCACAGCATGGAGATTGTGTAGCACGTAGAGGCCCCGGTTGACAAGTCCATATCATAATATGGAAAGTCTTAAGTACATTGTTCTTTGTGAAAAAAAAAGTAGGACACAATGAGATTTATAACAATACTATTTAGGTAACATGCCAGACAACCACACACATTTTGCAAAATTACTTTCAAATTAAAAAAATACATATTAAACACAAATGAATGACTTAAGGTGGAGGCAGAGGGAAATGGGAACGAGGAATGGGAATAAAAGGAAGTAAATCAATAAAATAAGAATGATGCCCAACACAGACCTATGATGATGAGATGGTATGAATCCCTTTGAATGTGAGGTCCCAAACATTTTATGTTTATATTAAGTTAAAAACAATTTCCATTTTAAACGCAAGGCAACTGAGACTTCGAGAGGTTAAATGATTTGCTCCAGGTCACACAGCATGTTTGTAATATAGCTGGAATTTTAAACTAAATTCTGTTAGAATACAAAATACGTTGTGTGTGTGTACTTTTTAAAAAGTGCTACTAATAATACTTTTTATGGAAAATGAGAAAATATAAGAAAGCAAAAAGAAAAAATATTTTAAAAGTATACATAACCTCTCAATGCTGAGAAATCACATTTTGGTACATGCACTTTCAGAATTTTTATATGTAAACTAGAGGCCCGGTGCATGAAAATTTGTGCACAGAGCGGGTGGGGGGGGGTCCCTCAGCCTGGCCTGCACCCTCTTGCAGTCCAGTCTGGCTTCCCTCTGTGGGAGGCAACCAGGCAGGCAGATCAGGGGACAGTGCCAGCTGGTGCCCCCATCGCCCCTCCGCCGCCCAGTGGTCGCTGTCACCCCCCATCACCATCCCCTCCCCTCTGCCCACTGGCATGTGCCTTGGCTGGCCTGGCACTGCCTGCTCACTGGTCCCGCCCCCTCGCCGACTGGTCGGTCAGCCGTTCGGTCGATTTGCATATTACACTTTTATTATATAGGATATTTTTTTAAAAATGGGATTATATTTTACAGGATATGTTGTAACTTCAATCTGTGTCTCTAACCATGCCACTCTGCCTTATATACAGTGACTTTTGTATTTCCTGTCTTATCTCCTCTATTAGACTGTGAGCTTCCCAGGGGCCTGGTCGTCAGGATCCCCTGTGAATCCATTTGTTGAACAGAGAGCACGAACCTCTAGAATATATGAATGCGAGGGGCTTCAGCAATCATGTCCAAACTCCTTGTTTTACAGATGGGGACACCAAAACCCAAAGAGTGGCTGAAGATTCCACAGGTAGGTGGTGGCAAAAATGCCACAAAGATTCCGATCTTTGATTTTGGATTGCACTTGAGTCCTCCCCCTTTACTCCCTCGCATCACTTCACCTTCTTATTATTTGAGGTTTAACCTGTTGTCACAGGGAGCCTTCTACTTTTCTGCTTAGCAACCCAGGGATGGTGGCTGAGGGGAGATGGCTGGGCTCCTGGTGCAGGGCTTAGTCAGAGAGGTTTCCACTTGGGAAGAGAGCTATCCATCCCCGATGCTAATTAAGTACACTCACCTCTTTTCTCAGCTCAGGGGGAGCTGTGGGAGTGGACTACATTCTGGGTTAGCTTTAGGGGAGGTAGATGAGGTCTACTTTGTGACAAGGCTTATCCCCCGTTAGGTTTTCATCTCACCACCCCAGATACTTCTTTGGATTGAGACATGTACAGAGGCCCCAGCTGAAATGCAAATATGGCTATTCTTTTCCCTCAGCAGATTTAGGCAGGTCCCCATTGGATGGAGCACAGGGTTTGGGAACTCAAAGACCTGGTTTTGAACCCCAGCTTTTTGTGTGTTGGCTGTTTGACTTTAGAAAAGTTATTTGGCCCATTCAGACTCAATTTTCTCATCCATAAAATGGGGACAAATAATCTGTTTCATAGGGTAGTTTCAAGAGATGAAAACATCCGTGTAAAATTCTTGACACAGGACCTGGCATCTTGAAAATAATACTAATAAATGGTGGCCATTTTCCATATATACTTTATATCCTGGCCTAGTCATCACCCTCTTCCAGGAATTCTGCTCCTCACCTATCTCAGATTGACTTCTTTATTCTCTGCCCCACAGAACATCGACAACCAGATCTTATTCTCTCTCTTTTTTAATTTTTTATTTGAGTCCTAAGTGTTGTTAAGCAATCCCAGGGCTGGCCGAGTCCTTGTTCATCACCAGATATTAAATTCCTGCTGGGCAGGAACCACATCTTTATTTCCTTTTTTTCCTCTCTCCAGATTTTTATTCCAAAATGATATATAAAGGGATGGATAGATAGAGGACAGAGAATTTTTAGGGCCACAAAACTACTCCATATGACACTATAATGGTGGATACATGTCATTGTACATTTGTCTAAACCCATTAAACGTACAACAGCAAGAGTGAACCCTAATGTAAAGTATGGACTTTGGGTGACAGTGATGTGTCAATGTAGGCTCATCAACTGTAACACATGAACCACTCCAGTGAGGGATGTTGATATGGGGGAGGCTGTACACATGTGGCTGCAGGGAGTATATGGGAAGTCTCTGTACCTTTTTGCAAATTGGGTGTGAACCTAAAATTGCTTCTAAAAATAAAGCCTATTAAGAGAACCTCACTTAAACTAAATATGCAATACATGCTGAATTTTAAAAGATTACACATTGCAAAAACACTTTAGAATATAGAGTTCAAATAGAGGGGACCAGAATTAATAGTTTTGTTTTTATCCTCTTAGGATATTTTTAAAAATGGAGTCATACACATACTTTTCCCCAAATTGCTTTCTTTGCTTCGCATATATATATGACATTTTCCCAAGTCAGGACATAATAGTGCTACACCACTCCTCCACCCCCTACCTCCTGTTGAATTACAGCCTACTGTCTGGATACACAGCAGTTTACCTAACCCTTTCCTAATGATAGCCAAATAAGCGACTTCTAATTTTTAGCTGTTACAAACTGCAGTCACAAAAAGCCCCTTGCATTTTGATTTCTGCACGTTTGAGTGTTTCTGTAGAATGAATTCCTATCAGAGTAATCACCGGGCCAGTTCCACATTCAAGCAAAAGCACTGACAGCCAGCAGACTGCCTTCTGAACTGGTGGGTGGCAGCAGTTCACTCTCACACTGGCTGTGTATGAGTACCAGGGGCCTGCCACCCGAGTCACCTCTGCACTAACACAACCAAATGATTATTATTTTTGTAAATCACTGCGGTGGAAACCTGATTCCAGGAAGCCTGTGTCTGAAACCTCTGTTTGGTGACTCGTATCATTTTGGGTAAGCTGTTTTCCCTTTCCACGCCTCAGTTTCCCTCCTTTGGGTGAGTTGTTTGATCTGGGTCCTCTCTGGCCTCAGAATTCAGCCTGTGAAGTCCCAGATGGCTTGTTCATCCCTGCAGGGGTGTGTCAGTTTCTCTAGACTCACCACACAGGGGCAGTGTAGGTCTTGGACTGGACCAGCTGGTGCCTGGGATTCCTTGCATATTCTGCCCCTTCCCTCCTCCCTCTCCCCCTAGCAGCATAGTAGTTACTGGGAATAGGGGCCCTGTTTGCCACCCTGGCCCACCCTGTTAAGCCTAGTTAATTAAGGAAGGTGCAGAGGATGGGTGGCAGGGATCTTTTCCCCTGGGCGTCCAAACAGACCCTGGGGAGCCCACAGTGCTGCCAGGAGAGGGGAGTAAATATCACCAGGAACTGAGGGTTCCTGGAAGCCTGCGCTCTGCTGGATGTCAGCGCTGTGCTGGGCTCTGTGACAGCGCCACAAACTCACTGTGCGTGTCCCTGAGCCTGGCTCCACTTCTCTTGCTTAGGACATGGTCCGGTGCTCCCTGCCCTGTGTCTTAGAATCATGGCTTGCCAGGGCTGGGGAACCTTCCTTCATGGAGCTC